AGCGCCCAGTGCTGAAGACTACTGCTAACGCTACTAGCACCCAGCGTTGAAGACTACTGCTAGCGCTGCTACTACTCCTGCAGCACTCCTCCAGATTGCTGCTGCCGAATCCTGAAGACTACCTCCTGCCTCTGAACTGCACGTGAAGTGCCTGGGAAGTACCTAGGAACTACCTGCAGCCTGCAGGGCGGGCCAGTGCTATATAGTGCTGGCCSGTCCAGGAGGCTGCTCTTGCCAATGCCGAAATGTGCCAGACCCTGGCGTTGAAGCTTAACCAGGGGTTGTCTTGAAAACAGGCCCAAAATGGCCTGTGTTATGATCCTGGTCAATTTCGAGATACACATCCATCCGATAGTACAATGCCGTCCAATTGCAGAGAGAAATGAATGAACTTGAGAGGAGAGAGAGGATTAGAAGAAGAAGAAGAAGTAAGAAAGAAGAAGAAGATGATGTACACCAGCACAGACAAATGACAAGGCTCTTCTTCTTCACCCAACAATCTCCTCCTCCTTATCTCCCCCTTCTCTTATTCATACAAGAAATAATAATACAATGTTGAATGGCTGATCCAGAATCAATATCCGAGTTCCTCTTCTACTGCAGGGATCCTTGAGGTCCACCATAGCCATGGCCTCCTCTCCCACTCTTCACTCTCATAGGCCAGGGCTGTGGCGGACTACTAGGCCTTGCCCAAACGCCCAAAGGACAACCCAAAGCAGCTATGGCTGCTCTAGCTCAGGCCGCCATGCCCGGCCCTGCCTCGAGCTTCCTTGTGCAGCGCTACCCCAACTGGGGCCTTCCAGATGCAGCGCCCAACCAGGTGATGAAGACGGTGTCCACCATAGCCAGGTAAGTGCCCCACCACTCCCCTACCATGCCCCCTTCTTCCTCCTCCTCAAACTGGGTTGCTCGCCATAGCCAGGCTGAGCTCCCAGCGGCCCTTCTTCCTCCGAGCAGCGCTGTACCTCCAGCGCTGCGCTCCAGCAGCATGTCGCCAATCCTTGCACACCGCAAATGAGCTCTTTGCTCTTCCTGAAGATATAGCGGCCTACCGGCCTCCTGGGCGGTGACTTCCTAGGCCGAGCGGCCTCCCAGCAACTGGTACCTCCTCCCTTTCGGAGGGAAACATCATTGCAGGCTCTGCTATCCTCCGCACAGGCCCTAGACCCGGGCTACTTGGACTGGTACCGGCCTACCTCTAACCTACCGCTACTGGGCCTCTAAAAATGCCAACTTTTTGTCTTCTTCTGCTCGGCTTCCAACACCCGACACTCATACCACTACTCGAGTGGTACCGGCCTACCTGCTTTAAGTGTCGCGGCCTACCCCCCCCCCTACTTGAGTGTTTACCCCCCTGCAACCCTCACAGTCACGGCCACCGGTAAGTACCGGCCCGGTGGGGCCTTGCAACCAACAAGTACCCTTGCGGGTCACACACACATACCCAACCGGCAAGCACTCAGACAGGCATGCAACCAGCAGGCACGCACACACACACAACCGGCAAGCACTCAGACAGGCATGCAAACCAGCAGGCACRCACACACACAGACTCGGAACCACAGCAGAATGCGGGAATCACAGCAAGGCATTCATTCCAGTGACAAATCCCAGAAATCAGCAGTGTTCTCAGTCTGTGTTTTTGGCGGGTCATTACATTACTCCCCTCTCGAGAGCGAGGTCCCTTCGAACGAGTAACTCAGTTAGAGTCGGCACAGAACGCATTGTAGGAGTACATCAGAAAGAGAGACTTAATTAATCCATGAGGAGTCATTGTTGCTACGAACTTAGCGGTCTGTCCCTCAGCGATCTGTCTTTCGTAAGCGTTCACAACACGGGGAGCATTCTTTAGCAGCTCTTTCCGGTCGATCCAGAAGAATTCAGTCAACGGGTGATAGAGGAAGTGAACCTTTTCCTCTCCGTTTCTCCCTCTGCCCTCATGAGATACGATTCTGTCTATCTCATGGCCGCCGTCGATAGAGCGAGGTATCATAGTCTCGGAAGGGAAAGGTCTCATCATCAATGTGTGGGAATAGTTTGGACGCATGAAACACCGGGTACGTGCGCAGATGAGGAGGCACGTCAATCACAAATGAAGGACCAAAGTCATCCCCAATTACCTTCAGAATCTGCCAAGGGCCATAGTACAATGGAAGGAGTTTCCGTGATACGCCCTCTTCATCGGAAAACTCAGACATTTTGACCCAAACATAATCCCCTACTTTGAATTTTTCTTCTTTGCACAGCTTGTTGGCATGTTTGATCATGGCATGCTGGCGCTTGTTCATGGCTGCAGTAACAGCTCTGAGCAAGCGTGCGTACTTGGCATTGTAACCAGGCATGTCGAGCATCAGACCAGGTGGCCGTTCGCGGAACAGATAGGAGAGGGGATTACGCATCGGCCATCCATATTGCAACTGGTTTGGTGTCACACCAGTTGCAGAGTGAATGGAATTGTTATACAGTCCCTTCACCTTGTGCAACTCCTTGCCCCACGTGTTCTGATCTGGAACAATCAATGCGCGCAGTAGTTGGATGACAGTCTGGTTAATCTCCTCAGCCAAACCATTGGCTTCGGGGTGTCAACCAGAAGTCTTGTTCAGTTTGATGTCATAGATCTACGATGTGAAGTCCTTCCAATCTTTGCTGATGAATTTCGTGTCCCGATCACTCACAATAGTTTTTGGGACGCCGGACTGCAGAATGTACTGCTGATGGAATTCTTCGATGACAAGTTCAGTCGGGGCATGAGGAGGGAGTGGAATCAAGTTTAGAAATTTGGAGAAACGGTCCACAATGACCATGACTTGTGAATTTCCAGCCTCACTCACCTTTCCCATGTCCGTGAAGTCGATGGAAATCGACTCACCGGGTCCATCAGGAATAGTGAGGGTCTGAGCAGGCCATACGGCTTATGCATGTGGACCTTGTTTCTCTGACATACCTAACATTCAACAATGAATTTCTAAGCAGATCCCTTCATCCCTAGCCAATCAAATTGCTGCAGAAGACTACCATAAGTCTTCTCAAAACCGAAATGTCCACTCCGACCATGTGCCAAATCCAAGAAATGAGTTCGGAGAGGCGCATGATTGGGTACACACAGACGATCGAATTTCCCGTACCGGCGGAACACAAGACCTTCGCATTCATGAAAATGAGGCTGATTGTTAGGGTCACCCTTGAGCTGCTCAAGGATGGGACTAAGGTCCGGATCCTTGGCGGTGTGTTCGATCAGATCCTCCCTCAGGTTCCTGCGGAGGTCGTACGAATCCACCAGGCAAGTCAAATACTCAGGATGAAGCGACAAAGCATCAGCAACACGATTATAGCAGCCTTTCTTGTGTTTTAGTTCAAAGTTGAAGACATCAATGTCGTGCAGCCAGCGGGTCAGCGTTGGAGAGAGATCAGTTTGTGTCTTAATCCATTGCAAGGTTTGATGATCTGAATAGACCTTGAAATGGCGACCCAAGAGGTAGTGCTTCCAATGCGTGAGCGCCTTGCGCAGGGCGTAGAGCTCACACATGTATGTGGAGGTAGCTACCTTGTGCCTGGGCATGCGTTTGCTGTAGTATTCGAGCGGACGCAGGCCATTACCATCATCTTGTTGCAGCACTGCACCAATCCCAAACTGGCTCGCATCCGTAGTGACTACGAATGTGAGGTTGGGATCCGCAATGCGGAGCACAGGATGACTCACCAATGCCTCTTTCAAGGCTTGGAACGCAGTCTCACACTTCTCACACCATGCATAAGCAACATTCTTGCTGGTTAGTCTTGAGAGAGGGTGAGCAATGACAGAGAATTTGGGCGCGAACTTCTGATAATACGAGGCCAAACCAAGGAAAGAGCGCAGTTCACGTACGTTCGCCGGTTGGGGCCACTCTCGGATGACCTCAACCTTGGTCGCCTCCGGCTCAAGGCCATCTGCAGACAACCGGTGCCCAAGA